CACGCCATTTTTGAGCTTCTTGTTTTTTTTTGTTTATTTTTGTTTATTTTTCGGATTGCACACAGGATAAAATGCATTGGCGCCACTGACTTCGATTCGATGCCATATCCCGCAGTGCCTCCAGCCAAAAAGAAAAGCTGAATCCTTGGGGTCCCAGCCAGGGAGCCGGGAAACCCCTACAGAAGCCAGATTTGCGCACAATTTCTTTCACCCTCTGCGACACGTCATAGCCTGTCCACCTCGAGGTTTCTTCCAACCTGGACCGATGTCTACGAATAGTGCACCGTGTGGCAGACGGTGCTCAGACATTCGTAGGACGTGCCGCAGCTACCTAAGACGATGCTGTGAAATTATTTTGCTCGAAGGAAGACTACCTGGCCCTAGCACCCATCGTCTGACTTCATCGTTATTTACGCGATGCTTCCATCATATGCAAGCGGTGTTGCGCAGACAACGCTCAATGGGAATCCACTGCACGGACAAACTGGTGGGAATTCACTTTCAGTTTGACAGTTTGAGCAACCCAAATCGACCGTTCACTGCCGCACTATCGGTTGTATTTGCTGTCTTTTGACTACTCAGTTGGACTAAGAAGTAGCGGGACGATGACAATGCTGGAAGTAGTGCCAGTGTGCAAATAGCGCATTCACTTAGACAAGATTTGAAAAAATATTGAGTGAATGTACAAGTGACACTGTTTACAGCACACAATCGTACCATTTCGTCTCTCTATCCATAGATTATGCGGATTTCGAGGTCTCCATTCAGGAGGCTTAACGCTACTTGAATGAACAAGTCTCTTGGTCAGGGTTTTATTGCCCTCTTGTCCAGTTTTCGTTTGACCATCTTTTTCAAACAGTGCTTAATTCGATAAACACGACATGCTTGTACAAAACCGTGCTTTTGAAGATGTGCCTCCGTTACGAACTGAACTACCCAGAAAAGCTTGCAGTTCACCTGGATTCTCATTGGTGTACGCATTAATTGCGAGCCACATAATTTTGAACAAAAGTAACCCGCAAATTCTGCGGTGCGTCAGTAATTTTTGATGCCGAATGGTTTATTATCTCTTCTTGTTGGGCAGTCCATTCACAGTGATTCCCTTATATCAAAATTTTGAGGATACATTACATCGGTGGAACCAGTCTAGTGCAAATTGTATGGCAGTATTATGATGTATTGTCTTTCAGGTGTCTTTGACAAATGCGTTCGTTCGAAAGTTACTTTTTGGCTGAAATTACCCAGCCGCTGTCTTGTGTCTCTTTTAAGCCAACTTGTTTTCAATCACAATTCAGCTTGTGTACACCCGTTCCGCCACTGTTTGTGATACGTGACTAAAAACGCAATGCCGAATTGATCACTGTCTACCAAGATCAATGAGTGTTGACGCTCAAAAATGATATGGGTGAGCTGTAAATCAGTAAACCAGCCTAAATTTTCCAAATGAGTTAACAATCTCTATCGTGTTCAGAATGACCTTGTTTTTACGGTTTGTGACATAGGTTCCACAGTGAAATGACACTTGTTTCCCGCAGGCCGTGAATACTCTTCATGTCTTTTTTAAATTCCGGCATTGCCTTTGAAGGCCTATGGTCCGGAAATCTATCCGATGTACCAGGAGTCGCAAGAAATAGCTGCAATCGATCGGCCCGGAATCCCGTTTGACCAGAGAGGTTTACAGCGTATAGAAACCGCACTGACTGAGCGGCTTGATACAGATGATCAATCCAAACGATTTTCTTGTATATCACTGACTGCCTTTCTCTGAAATGGATTCGGATGTTAGATTTAGGATAAATTAAGCGAACTATTCCATCCCCACTCCTACAGATTAACAACGGTAGACTCATTGCTACCGACTCAATTGTCTTTTTGACTGGTAACTGGCGAGCGAACCGTGAGCTTGTCAACTCAGAGGTATTGTATACTAATTCTATTAAGAAAGGTCATAAAATTTTATTTAGTACAGGAACATGAAAAAAATGTAGCTAGATGGTAACATCTCACCGAATCCGCTCAATTGCTGACGTAATATACAAACAGGCACATAGATATAACACATTAATTATACGATGAACGAACGTGTGCAAGCAAAACCAAGGATTATTAAATACAGAAGTAAAAGGTTAGCTT